GCTCGGCACAGCTGGCACCGGGCCAAGCTGGATATCGTTTTTGTGGCCAAGACACAAAATATGCGACGTTTTTTAGTCGACGTTTCATTTTTAGAGGTTTTTTAGGTTTAAAGTTAATCTCAGCAAAACTGAACATCCTAAAATTTCGAGTCTCGCAACGACCATGCGTCTCCAACCTCGGCGGGGTTCCGCTCGTCCCAATTCCAAAAGGGCATCAAGAAATGCTGGTTTTCGCCATTTTTGCGTTCTTTGAGGTGGTTTCCGGAATCAGCGCGTCGGATTACCCCAAGTAGGCAAAAAGTTTGAGGTTGAGGATTTGCCGAGCCACTGCATTCTAGGTTTAGGGTCAAAGGGGACTTTGAACGAAATTTTCAGGATTACAGAGTTTTTCAAAATTCTTGGTTCCAGCTCGTGCCGAGCCTTGGTACGCCCCAATGAGCTGATTTACCATTTCAAGCTAATGGTTCTCTTTTGCAACAGCAAACGTAAGAATTTTTGACTTATCTTTACTTTTTGCATGAATTAAGTCTTTTGATGAGTAAAAAAATCATTGTCCATTGAGAAAGGTAACAAACATTTACACCAGTAGATTCGACATTTAGTGACGACAATTGTTCGAAAGCAAATGCCGCTAGTATTAGTGCCAACAATTTTCTCGCAACCTGCGCGTGAATGGCCATAGAGCGTACAGGCCCATCATTAACGCGTAACTGTTATCGACAAGGCAATAACACTACTATAATAACGTAATTACTAGGCCATACATACCTTCCTACTCTTTCGCATTTTATAGAGTCTCTCTCGTGAACTTGTCTAGCCGTAAGCTTCAACCAGGGATAGACCATCTCCATTAGATCAAAATTAGGGTGGTTGTTTACTGGTGTGCTCTGCGCCTGAACAGAAGGCTTCTCCAAAACATCAAAATCAGCTTCAAAGAGAACAGACTTCAAAAAATACTCCAAAGAATATATCTCCATCGGTTCGGAAGTACCAGCTTAGAGTCGTTGGTTCGGTAACCTCAGCAACGATTTGGCGCCGACCTCGTGCCGGAATATGAAAGCACTCCATGTGTCCGTGAATCTCGTGAGGAAGCGTGGGTGGCACCATTTGGCTCGGTGGCTTGCCTGCACCGATGCATACTATGCTCTGGAAACCTTTTCTGAGTACTGGTGATATCAGCTCCCTTTTCCCAACTTACATCCTGCTTCCCCCCGAGTGTAGTTGGTATATGCTCTATACTTATGTCCTCAGTGAGCTCTTTCAAAAAGTTGCCATCGTGCAATCGAAATCTGTCGGTGAATCCTGCCGGCATCATTGCTTTCGCAAGTTTATAGGGAACGTGTATCCATTTTGCAATGTTGACCATATCTATTGGTGTGACCTGTAAGAGTCAGTGCTAGTATCAAAGCAAGATGTGGACCAGCATACCAGTTCTGGGTAGTTTTCATAGTGGAACAGCTGGGAGTAGTACGCTAAAGTTCCACTGCTTATGAACACCATTGTAAACGGATTTATCTCATAACCAGTCATGTCAATGATATGCCGAATGGAACTGAGTCGCCCACTATTTTTCTCCTAAAAAGCGAAGTGGAGCAGGATGCACATGCACAAAGTTCACAGAATTCCTGTACAGAATATTTGGACAAGAGAGGCAAGTATACATTGTCAGGGTGACCAAAAAGTAATAGAGCAGTTGAGCTGCGTAGTACTCATTTGCTCAAAATCACATTCAATACGAGATAGATGTCCCTGCCGGACTATCGTCAAATATTAAAGTGAAAGAATAATCTATCTTGACACATCACAACTAACCTGATCCATCACTCTGTGAAGCATATATTCGAATTGCCAAAATTGATACTTGCATACTTGTGAGCTTTGGAGAGCACATGCTATTCCCTGCAGTGAATGAGAATCAAGAAGAGAAAATAAAGAAACTTGCTTGTCTAGAAATAACTTACTTCCACAGATATAGTTGCATATTCTATGAACCATAAAAGTCGATTCTTATTATCAGTTACATTGAGAATCTCTCCTTTAGGCATGAGTTTCTTTTGAAAGATGGGATTTTCATCGAATGTCCTAATTGGTTCATTATCCTGGAAAACTTTGGATTTAGAAGCTTTTATCGACTCTTTTGTGAGATTTTTCGTCAAGTGATTTATTTTT